CCCCAAAACCCCAAAACCCCAAAACCCCAAAACCCCGTTAAGATTAAATTATATTGAATATTAAAAGATGAAGCTAAAGTGTAGCTATATTCTTCCCCATTATTTCTCAGTTTTATATATCATTCTGCTTTTTTCATTAAGCATCAGCCAAGAAGTACAACCAGTTCCAGAATTCTGTTCTGAGTCTCCTTCAACATTCTCTACTTTCAGAATAAAGAGTTCAGCTTCAGCAGCTCCTTTGTTCCCGACTGTGAATACATCTCTGTTTATGAAGTACTTTGAAGGATATCATCTTAGCAACAACGAGATTTCAAGCTTCCAAGGCAACTTGACTTACTTCACAACTGTATATTTAGAGACCAACATTACGGTAAGCACTGGAGCAATCTAGCAATCGAATTCTAAGATTTATGATTCAAACTGATTTATCGTGTGACGATTAGGGGATCACCAATCTTTGCAATATCATTAAAAGATCTCTGATAATTTCTTAATTTGATGAATGTTTATAGGCACTGATGGTGAATCCAGAAAATAACAAAACAGCATACATAGGCTTTGGCACTGAAGAAGTAAAGGAGTCATCAGATAAAGAGAGACAAATCAAATTTAAATTCTTCTTTCAGTTCAATTCGGAGAACCTGAAGAAGGGCTCTTGGGACTTTGAATTTGGAATCCATGATGACTCCATGATGTGATATTATTGACTTGGTAAGAATTTAGCTAGAAAGAATTTCTTAATTGTGTTTGAATTATTTTTATCATAAGCTAGTCTTGAATCATATTCAAGCATTTTTTTTATTTATCATAAAAGTTCACAAGAGAAAAATTAATAAATAATACTGATATAGATTTTATTTTCTTGATATTAATTTTTATTTTTATTGCCACTATTTCAGCAAATATTAATTTTTTTAAACTCTTCCATATACCATCATAAATAGATGAAAAGCATGCCAAAATGTCAAATATAACGAACCCAACAAAGTGTAAAGTAGATATCCAATTCAAGACTTGGGGAGCAAGAAACATCATTAGCTCTCAAGTTGACCTTCTCCGTTGGGTAGAGGATAATTCATACAGGAAATTTTCAAACTCAAAAAATTATGGAGGTTACTTTAACCGTGCCCAGAATGGATATCAAATTTTCCACGTCCTTATGTGGATGATACCTTTTGCCTCATATGTTGTCAATGTGTTTCATTTTGATACAAAAGATATCGATATTAATAAGAATCCTATTGCTATCATTGGATATATTTGAACCTCAGCTATAACTACTGCTTACATAATGTTTTCATTCATCCTGTTCTATCTCTGTGAATATTTTTTAGAAAACATAATCACTGCACTCTTCTTGCCTTTCTTTATTTTAATGTTTCTGGCAACAGTAAGCTGAACTTGACTAATAATGTATACTGCGCTGTTAGATCACAAAGTATTTAAAAATGACAATGATCCTAGAGCTTCTACAAACTGTATTACAGCTTGTATGAGCTTATTCTGGTTCGTATCATATATCATAATGATGTATTGGAAAGAGCTCTTTTTCTATAAGTTCTTCTTCATACCTTCAACCTACTTAGCTCTTCCAAGCCTAGGATTAGCTGTGAACATTGTGACAAATTTTGTTGGTGCAAAGGCTGTAGTTGACAATCTAATAACTTTGATTATCAACAATTTATATATCTTATATCTCCCATACAGTGCTTATGGACCTTCAGAATGGATACATGATTATACAAGCTCCAAATTAATTAGATTCTTATGTATCCAGTTACTCTTGGTGTTGATTCTTTACTTGCAATCTAAATTCGGGTCTCGTTTTATCCTCCCTAGCAAATTAAGAGCCCAGCTGCATGACAAATACAGAAGAAGACTCACCAATAAGCCTCATGATAAATTCGAAGACGTTTGCTGTTACTGTTTGAACAAATTATCAGAACCAGAAGTTGAGTACCAATCCTCCCACCAAAACTCACTCAAATACATCAAGCTAAACGACAACCTATACTACATGCTCCCTTGCACACACAAATACCACCCTTATTGCTTCCACACAGTCTATACCTCCACTCCCAAATGCCTTAAATGCCCTGAAGAAATCCCTCACAACACCTTCATTGACTAAACCACTCTCTCCCATCCCCAATAAAATAATTGAAATTTCAATATGAAACTCCTATTGTGGGGTTTTGGGGTTTTGGGGTTTTGGGGTTTTGGGG